GGCCCTTCTTCACGGGTCCATTAAATCTCACAAGATGTTTATGTCACACTCAACACTGGGCAGCTCTCTTCTGACCTTTGGGTTTGTGTATTGGCCCTCTCACCCCAACCCTCAATACACTGTCAGCTACTTTGAGGCAGGGGGCAAATTTAATTAACTGCCACATACGAACTACACAAGTGAGGGACTACATCTTCATTTACCTCTCTCTAGCTCTACGTCTCATATGACACACACGGTTCAACATGCTCCATGTACTTTCATTTAATGTCATCCTACCAGTGATTAAAAAGCACACATATGGTTTACACATGACTTCAAAATTAAGAAGCTTAAATAACAGCACTCAGTGTTTCTTTGAACAACAAACTAATACCTGCTTTAGCAGCGAAGTTACTGATGACAGAAATCTGCAAGCACACTCGACAGTCCACTTTCCTACATTTCAGCAAGCTAAAGCAGCTCCACAGAAAGTCTCCCCCACTTCACATAGATATCAGAGCCCTCAGTTGTAATAGCTTTTGTTTTAGCATCTTAAATTATTTCTAACAAACAGTACATTTACCTTCATTTTTATTTTAAAAATTGCAAAAGCTGAACTTTACTTTTGTTTCTGGAGGTAAGCACAGAAACACAGAGCACAGCAATTTTTAAAAATAACATGTCAATTTACCAACTGCAGCATACAAGCTGCTGCCAAAATGGCAACAACTCGACTGGGTTTTATCAAGACGTCATCTCGATACGGAGATCCAAAGGCATCTTGCAGTGCTGAAAGAAAAAGTACACACGCAAAATAAAACGTTACCAAAGGGGTAAGACACTGCAAGAGGGAGTTCCAGAAGATACTGCTGAGTAGACTACTGTAAAGTGTAGGTGCACATAGTCCATCACTCCATGATAATCTTTTCTTTAGCTGGAATTGATTCAGTAACTGATTTAATTATTCTATCAATTCCAGCTGCAGTCTTCTCTAATGGTCAGAATTAAGACCTCCTCGGAAGAAGTTCCAGAAGATACTGCTGAGTAGACCACTCGTAAAGTGTAGGTACACACAGTCCATCACTCCATGATAATCTTTTCTTTAGGGGAGGAACAGTTTACTGGCATCAAACTCACAGATCAAACTCCTCTTGCCTCAGCTTCCTCAGTGCTGGGGTAACAGACGTGCACCACCAGGTCAGTTACCATGGTAATCTTAACTCAGTGCTTCACCACTGAGGTGTGGTAAGCTCCTAGCCATGTCCTGCCACATGCATGTCTGATCCCTACAGCCATCTGAGTCTGGCCACCCTCCTCCACTGCCACTCACTGATGTTCCTCACAGTTTGCTCTATAAACTTCTCTTTTCTCTCTGCCTACTCAGTGGAGCTGGGCCCTCCACCAAGCCTGTAAAATAAAACAAGAAGGAGCTGTGGACTATGAACAGGAGAGGATGTTTACAGGAGGCTCACTGGGCTGCATGAGACTCAAACACAATCCCTAACCTCCCCAGCCCCCTGCTTTGAAACAACCCTGCCTGAATGATTCATGTGCTGTCCCCAAAAGGACCTTCACACATCATTTATTTTTACTTTTGGTTCTAGGATCAAACCCAGGGCCTTGTGCAGGGTAGGCAACACTCTTAACAATTACATCCCCAGTCCCTGTACATGCTTTCTTTTAAAAAAAAGTGGTCAAACTTCTTATTCCCTCTCCTTACGGCCTTCTTCACAAGTCATTTATTTTTATTTTTGGTTCTAGGATCAAACCCAGGGCCTTGTGCAGGGTAGGCAACACTCTTAACAATTACATCCCCTGTCCCTGTATATACTTTCTTTAAAAAAGGGTGGACAAACTTCTTATTCCCTGTCCTTAAAGCCTTCATATCCCAGGCTCACAAGACATGCAAAGAGACTGGGTTCATGTAACTATAAACAAGAGGGACAGAACTGATAAATCATGGAGTGAATTAATATAAAATCCACCTTCGGTATAAAATGAAACTTTGTTCCTAGCCTAAGGGCTAGAATATTTGTTTTTCATGAAAAGAATAAAAATGTTATGTCTTTGTGATCTTTGTACATTGTAATTATAGGAGCCATACCTTCCACATCAATATTCTTGTCAGGAATCTCCAGGTCAATAATATTCATGCTGTATTCTTTCCAAGAACCACTGAACATACTAGAAAAGTAGCCAGACTGAAGAAAAAGTACAGAGTTAATGATTGACCAGTACTTTTGTCTTACAAATTATTTTCCCATATCTAACTCCACCCAACTATTTTTATCAAAACTAATTTGCCATATTATTTCAAGAGAAAAAGAACTGTTCAGTACATCTACAGCAGAAAAGAACTTAAAGTCATTATAAAGTATTCTGAAGTACATGTTCAATTTAGTACATCTCAAAACTAAACTAAATTCTATTACTCTGTGAACTGAATTCCCACATTACTTCTTAAACCGGATTAGCTTTTACTTAAAGCAATTCCTGGGTAGTGCACTGAAAGTTCAATCCTGGGTTTTGGCACCAAAAAGAACTTTGCAGTACTTTAGAATGGATCAAATAGTAACTGATTTTAAAGCGTAAATTAAAGTTCAATCCTGGGTTTTGGCACCAAAAAGAACTGATTAAAATAGAATAAAATAAAGACATTATTCAGTACTTACTATGTTCATCCATTTGTACCTGTAGCTCCAGGACATGCTGTCAACACTAAACCTACATATGCTCAAGTCCTGCCTCTCTGCACTGACCTGTACACAGACCCCCTCATACCCTTGTAAGTCACCTGTAGGTTACCTGCATCACCCAATACAATGTAAATGTAGCATAGGTAATTATTTTTTTAGGGAATGATCAAAAAAGTCATGTATGTTTCTTCAATACATGTCAATTTGCTTTTTTCCAATTATTTTTAATCCTGAGTTGTTACAACACAGGGGATGTGGAGCATGCACACACAGAGTGCAAACTGTTTACAGCAGCCTAGGAACATGGACTCAGATGTCATTTCCGTCCACAGGCAGCCAACCTGCAAGGATCCTGAGAGGCAATCTCATCCTTGTCACAGTGGCCATCTCATCCTTAAAAGTCAATGAGAGATTTTTTTCTTTCAGAGATTAAAACAAAGATACTGTTAAGACTAATAGTCTGGATATATCCTCTGGATTGTATTCTTTTTGGACTCTAGCTTTTTTTAGACAGTAAAGTCAGCTTCACTTTCTTTTTAACAAATTTTTGGCTTGTATTCTTCAAATCAAAGTAAACTTTCGTTAAGACTAATGGTCTGGATATATCCTCTGGATTTTATTCTTTTTGGACTCTAGCTTTTTTTAGACAGTAAACTCAGCTTCGCTTTCTTTTTAACAAATTTTTGGCTTGTATTCTTCAAATCAAAGTAAACTTTTTCAAAAAATAAATGAAAAACATGTTGATGAAAATGTGGAAGAAACATTTCAAACATTTTCCTTGGCAAATCTCAGACTACTGTCTTTCAAGTAGTTATTCTCCAACAATGGTGAGAAAACACTAGATCCACCGGGTAAGAACTCACAAGGCCTAGGACACAGAACGGGATGGAAGGTCATCAAATATAACATCTGAGGGGCTGGGTGTGGTAGAGAAGTTTTAATACCAGCACCTGGGAGGCAAAAGTGGGTGGATCTTTGTGAGACTGAGGCCAGCCTGGTCTCCATATTGAGTTTCAGGCCAGGTGTGGCTACAGGGAGACCAAAAACAAACAAAAAAACAAACAAAAAACAAAACAAAACTAAGGGGTCTGGTGAGATGCTTAGCAGGTAAACACACTTGCTGACAAGCCCAATAACTCAGTTTGATCCCCAGGACCCCATGATGGAAGAAGAGAACTGGCTCCTGTAAGTTGTCCTCTGACATTGGCACACACAGTGGCAAGCATATACACACGCGCATATACAGTAATAAATATTTTTTAAAAATTATTTAAAG